TGAAGCTCTGTTGCCAAGTAAAGATTTTCCATATTTATGATTATTATCTGCTTATCACCTTTCATATTTTTTCTATATTCTGTAATCAAAATGAACAAAAAACATAAAACTACAATACATTTTTTCATGATCTGTTCTTCATTTTAGCTAATAATCAATTTTGACTATCGAAGTTTCTAGAACTCAAAGCAAACGTGTTCAAACCAGTTGTGTTCGCTTCCCTACCCGAGAGTGCAAAATTGGTTTACTACTTCGAACGTTCTTTGAATTATGTCTATCAACAATATTTACCATGATGAATATAACTATTTTATATAACCTTAATGAGGCAAGAGGCTGTACCTACGCATTACCACTCTATAACATTAATTTTACACAAAACTATATACATCTCAAGATACAAGTACTTCATTGGGCTGCGTTCGTATATGCATGCATGATAAACAGGCACACGCGCGCGCACACACATGCACAGAAAATATTAAGATATAGATAATTAGATACACAGATAGGTATATTGATAGATAAGAATAAGCATGTATTCCAAAATAATCACCATGACCTTACCAGGTGATATCGTGACCTTGCTCCTCCATCCTTGGTAGTGGTGAATCCAAGCTGTAGATAAGGTCACCATCCTATACATCTTTTGTTTGAACTGTCTCATCTTTTTCTCATGATAATCCACCAATGGAGTGTGATTAACTATCACGTTCAAATTACTTTCAGAGAAGTTTATGATTTGCTAATCTGAGAGTTAACCTGGTGTCACCCCCTCTAATCTTACTTTTAACAAATATCAAGTAAAATACACACGATAAAATCGGAATTACTTGTCACCTCGTCCTTAGTACTTTGGTTTGAATGTCTAGTGTATTTACTAATAGTTACGGGATTTCGCTGGATTAATTCCTAATTATGTGAAACTAACATCTTTTTCGGGGAATTTGAGTCACTTGCTCTTTGCACTTTTTAGGTGTCTGATATGAAATAGATATATTTCCATTCATCAAAGGGAGTCTCCCACTTAAGCGCCTCTCTCTCTCTGTAATAGTTATCCTGTGAGCTGGATGTTCCTAAAAAAAAAAAAAAAAAAAAAAAAAAAAAAAAAAAAAAAAAAAAAAAAAAATCTAACGCCCAAACAGTTCAATTAGTATATGTTACAAACAACACATTCATATTAATTCATAAGCAGTGTGTTTAGGTCCTTCATGTGTATTATTTGTTTTTTTCCCCGCCATAACAATGGTTAATGGTTAAAACAAGTATATGTGCTTGACATCAAAGGTCATATAGCACCATGGTTATGTATTGTGGTGAAAAGGGTAAATGAGTTGACGATTAGTACAAAGAGTGTTAAATGTCAAAGGTTATAGTGCTATAGGAAAGTATGATAGGGAAAAGGGTAAAGAGGGAGTACAAATTATGTAAATCGGACATTAATAAAGGGTAAAGGGTATAATACGATTGGATGGAATAGGGTGTATCTGTTGTTGGGGAAGCTGGAGAAACATTGCTTTAAGGAAAAAACTGGCAAAAGAGCTGTTATGAAATAATTATCGGGCAATACGGGTGGAGATGGCGGTTGGAGAAGTTGCAGGAGAAAAGTTTGGGGGATAAGGGGACTGGGGAAGGAGGTGAAGTATCAGGAGGAGCGTCAGGAGGGGAGGAATCCGGAGGAAGACACTATTGCGAGAAAAGGGATTATCGTGAGTATCCAGGTGGGAGAGGTATGGATAATGGAGAACGAAAAGGGAATGGTGTACATGGAGGAGAGGATGGGGTTTGTTGGCAAAAGTAGGAGAAAGAGGGGTAGGGGGAACTTCCGGGGAAGGATGATGGGTATCGGCAAATACATTGAATGCAGAGGGACTAGGAATAGAGGGATAGAAAGGTGGATGAGGGAGCGGAACATTTTCTTGGGCCATGTCTAAGAATTGTTGGAGGTCTTCAAGAGTTTCTGGAGGGGTTTTGGTAAGGGAGGTCTGAGAAACAAAAGATCTCTTGTGAGGAGTAGAAGAGGGGATAGATGTTCGAGAAGAGGAAAGGGAGGTTGTAGGAGAGGGTGTGGAAAGCAAAAATGTAGAACGTTTAGGTTATCTGGTGCGACGCGTAAAGTATGCAGGGGGAAGGGTAAGTATCGGAGAAGTGGTAGAGATCGAAATATTTGGATTTGGAATGGAAATAGGATTTGACTGAAGGATTGGGAGAGTAGATGAGACTACAGGGAAACGCTATGCGTCGTAGATTCCATTTATTTTATGAAAACATGCACTAGGGCAGCGATGCTGCAGCCGGTCAAGACCCATACATGCATTCAAATGCTCGATGGCAGTCCGACTCTCCCCTTACCCTTCTCCAACCCTCCGCGCGCCACCTCGTTCCACACCAAACCAGACTCACTGGCGACTCACCGCCCAACTGCCACTCGTGTCCGCCAAATCACAAAATACCATTAATAAATGACAATTACTGATACATGTAATATATGTATAAATCAACATTACAGTAGAGATACCATGGACCAGGGTAAAGGGAAGAGATACTGGGGGAGATGCCTGTTTTGGAATAAGTAGGGAGAGAAAAACCTTGTCATTGTGCTTCCTGTTTGAATCTGAGACCTGCTACCTCACATTTGAGGTTATAGGCAGGGCAGCTTCAATAGAATACGTTATGGGTCACCACATTTGACCTATGTGTGCTGTGTAGTCCAGTGGTAACGTGCTGAGCTTTCGATCCTGCGCACTACCAGTGAATGGTAACCCCGGCCATTCCTTGCACACAGGGGGAGATTTAGAAGGCAAAATAAAACAGACAGTATGTTACAGCAAAGAATATACATTGTAATAAATGGTACTGAAACTAAATCTTTAAAATCTTAAATGTACGTGACTAAGAATGGCAATTTGAACGGTTATGGTTAGGTTGGGCACACAGGGCAGCGGGTTGTGAAGCGACAGTGTTTGGCTGGTAGACCAAAACGCCAACGTTTCTGACATTGACGAGGAAGATGTCGATGTGGCCGAACATGGAAGGACAATCCACCAATATAAACTTCATGAGGAAGGTCTTGGCTACGGAAGATAATCTTGACAATATTGGCATGAGACTTAGGCGGTATAGTGTAGCGCTGTACTGTCACTGCATCATAATCAGCAAGGCAGGTAAGCAGATCATTTTCACAATCTGACCAGTTCTTGTCATATATGGGACAATCTGTCGGGGAGATGGAAACAGTTCCAGTACAACTATTAAGAATGAGGTGAAGTTCGGCACGAATGGGTTTGCTAGTAAGGTTAGTTAGGGTAGATAGTGCACGAGTTTAAGATTTAACTGACAAGGCGTGATCTATCTGAGCGACTGCGAAAGGTAACTTTGCCTACTTGTTTTTTAGGAAGAGAAGGGTATTCTCAGAATTGGGGTCTGTGGGGGGAATCACAAAGAATCGACCCCACTTGGCTGGGCCAAAGAGAGTACTCAATAAGTTTTTAGAGGTAGAGGCAGTAGAAGGACGAGAGCGAGAGGAAGATGGGGTGGTGTGGAGTGGAGTAGTTCTGGGGGGGGGGGGCAATAAGGATAAAGAGTAAGTAAGAAGAAGGGAGAGGGGTATTAATTGAAGAAGACTGTGCAGTAGGAGATGAAGAGAATGTTGGGAGAGAGGAAGAGGTGCATTCTGGAGGATGAGTAAAAACCTGAATGGTTGGTGCAGAATGGAGAGAGTTGTCAGTGAACATCGAGGAGGGGGTATTAGTATCAGTGGTCGGAGCCGTGGTCAAAGGAGGGGCAGGGGTCAGAAAACCATCAAAACCGAAATCAGATAGTCTAGCTGATGAAAGGGTAAGTCTTAATACCCATATTAAGGGTAAAGAATCTTCATTATTGGCCATGGTGAGCCTGAATAAAAATGGAGAAAAGAAACGTCTAGCCCTCAGGGTCCCCTTAAGGGTAAGGTCTATGCAATTAACCAAGGGAATACCGTGTCCATTGCTCCCAGAGGCCGTTCATGACTGACATAAAGGTAACCTTACATCATTTTAGAATGGCTGTCACACCTTAGTAATGGGACATAAGAAGGGGATGAAGAAGATACGGAAAGAAAGGAGAAGAAAAGACCAAGCAAATTTAGTTGAAGCAAGGGCTGGAGTCCAAGGCAAGGGTAATTCATACATTGGGCTCCCCCCCCCCCCACTACAACAACGAGCAAGGTAAATAGCAAATGGAGTACGACAGCCTTTCAGGACTGACAAAGACAGTCTTTCATCCTTTCAGGGCGGCTCTTACACTTAATGATGTGGATAGAAGGGGATGCAGAGGAGAAAGAAAAGGAAAGAGCAGAAAAAAATTGTTAATGGTTGGAACAAATAAATATGCCAGACATCAAAGGTCATGGAGCACTACGGTAAAGTATTGCGGCAAAATGGGTAAAGAAGAATTAAAGATTAGGATAAAATGTGTTAGATGACCAAAAATAGAGAGCGTTATAGAATAGTATGGTAGAGAAAACGGAAAAGAGGGGAGCAAATGAAGTTGAGCAAAGATTAGCAAAAAGGGAATGGTTAATGGTCATATAGCACTAAAGGAAGATACAGTAAAGGGTGGTGAAGGGTGATAGTTGTTATGTATCAACTATCTAGAGTAGTATTGAAAGGTTAAAGATGGGTAAAGGAGTTGATGGGTGAATGGGTTACGGTGGGTTTAGGTGAGGGGATTAGATCAAGTGAAGGATATGTATGCATCTGAGGAAGGAGAATAGGTTGTCAAAACAGAAAGTGTGGAATTCTGTAAGGATGTCTGATAGGTTGGGGGGTCGGTGAAGGGAGGATAGGTGGGGGAATGCAGAGGTGCGGGCTGTAGCAAAGCGTGTACTGAACAACAGAATGTGTGGAACAGAAAGAGGGACATTTCATAGGCGAGTTGGGAATTGGTATAAGAGGATGTGCAAGAAAAAGATGGAAGAAAGGACAAGACGACGGTTAGGTCTGTGAGAACGGAATATTCCA